CTGGAGCACTAGTCAGGATAGAAGGAGAAATGAATGGGGCAAAATAGCATTAAATTCTTGAGGAAAATTTGCTGCCCTCTGCCAGAAAGTTGTCAATGGGAAGAAGGTTTACCTTCCAACATGACAATGACCCAAAGCACACAACACAGAAAAAGGTGAATGTCCTTGCATGGCCTAGTCAGAGCCCAATCCCCACTGAAAATCTGTGGAATGACTTGAAGACTGCAGTCCATAAACGAGATTATATCGCCACTTGTTGGTTTGGCATGCTCTTGACAGCGAATCATACGTTTGCGTTTTCATGTGGACGGAGATTTTTTTAAAAACGGAAGAAGGAAAAACTCTTTTAAAACGTTTTTAAAAATACCCGTGTACGTGTGGACATGGCCTGAGGCAAATGAGACTAAAATTGAATTATTTGGCTCAGCAGCAAACAATATGTCTGACGGAAATCCAAAACAGCTCAGCAGTCAAATAACAGCATTCCTCCAGTAAAGCATGGAGCTGGTGATATTCTGTTATGGGGTGTTTCTCTGCAGCAGGGACTGGAGCACTAGTCAGGATAGAAGGAGAAATGAATGGGGCAAAATAGCATTAAATTCTTGAGGAAAATTTGCTGCCCTCTGCCAGAAAGTTGTCAATGGGAAGAAGGTTTACCTTCCAACATGACAATGACCCAAAGCACACAGCAAACCTGACAACACAGTGGTTGAAGGAGAAAAAGGTGAATATCCTTTCTTGGTCTAGTCAGAGCCCAGAATAAAACTCCATTGAAAATCTGTGGAATGACTTGAAGACTGCAGTCACCATCAAATTTAACTGAACTTGAGCAGTTCTGCAAAGAAGAGTGAGCAAATATTGCAGTCTAGATGTGCAAAGTTAGTAGAGACAGACAAATCCCAACAGACTAAAGACTGTAAAGCAAAAGGTGGTTCAACAAAAATACCGACCTTTTTCCAACTCACTGATTCTGTTTTTTATTTTGTTATTTTTTTCTGACATGTTGGTGTTATATCTGTGACTTGGATGTTATAAGTTGCACTGAGTAAATACAGCTGGATCAAACAGAATTTAACGGAAATGTCCGTCTTCATTTCAGGCTGCAAAGCAACAAAATGTGATTATTTTAAAGGGGGGTGATTCTTTTCTATACCCACTGCGTGCGTGTGTGTATGTGTGTGTGTATATATATATATATATATATATATATATATCCTTTAGACAAAATATTTGTTATATATATATATACAGTATATATCCTTTAGACAAAATATTTGTTATATAAATATAAATATAAATGGGCATACACTGTGTTTTTGTTTAGTGTCACATTTAATGCATCAGGTTTTTATGGCTCATATAGTATGATATAGAATATCAAGAAAAAAACACCTCAGATTTATTCAGAGGCCCAAACTGAGCAAAAATATGCAATTTGGTGCAGTTGCTGATATTTATATGGTAAAAAAAATTAAGATGAAATTCTGATAGCTTGTAATGTAAATCAGTGAGATCTTTATAACAGTATAGCAAATACATAAAATGATATAAATATATCAGTTGTCACTCTATATTTCCCAATAATATGCCTTAAGATGATATTTAAATGATTTAGATGATATTAAATGCAGTTTTATGATTAAAACTCTGTAGTTTTAAAACATATAATGCAATGCAATACAATGATGATTGAGAACAAATGATTGAATGATGAACAAATAAATGTTCCTTAAAAGCCTGACGGATGATATTTGATACATATTTTAACAGGATTTTTCAAAAAATAATTTATGGATAATCAGGTAAACCTAAGTTGCTTCAGTCCAGTATTTTTCATCTTGAAATATTACTAACAATATAAAAGTTAAAAATCAATAAAGATTTCACAGCAAAAAGAAGCATTAAGGGAGATGTTTTTACAAAAAACCTTTTGCTAAAAAAAAGTATAAACTATCAATCAGAGGACTGAAGGCATGTTGTAGATTTTGTGCAACAGGGTTTTAAGCAAAGTTTTGATCGTGTTAATGGTTTAGAGGCCTTTAAATATGATGCATTCGGCTTTATAGAGTTAAAGGACCAATTCTTCTTTTTCACATACAATTAACATATGGCTATCAAGCTCCAAAAATGGCAAAAAAGCGACATGACTGCATAAAAGACATATGCACCATATAGTCTTGTGATCAAACTAAAAAGAAAGAACATTGTAGTCTCTTAAAATCATTTAGATTTTCAGTTTGCCATAATACTTCCAAAAACTGACAAGGTGGTAACCTGAACTGTTTTATCAGAATATTTTGAGTTATGTGCTTTCACATCATGAGGTATAACTATTTTGAGGATGTTAGTGCTCTGCTCGTGCATTAGTTAACTAGATCGCCACACGTTCATTTATCAGCCACATAAAACTGCTTTATGTTTCAGCATGACTCGAGGTGTAAATTGCATGAAAACAGCCTGAATATAAGCTTTTGATGGCCAGAGGGAGGATTGGGGAGTGTGGAGATGCACAGTGATGCCACCTGAGAAACTGCAGCAGATGGCACCGGCTGCTCGAGGTGGGAAAGCGCTGGCATTTCAACATATGCCTGAACTGTGCACCTCTCTGTTGTGGCATGAATGTCCACTCGCCGCCTCAGGGAAGAGTCGGTTCATGATCTGTTTTGCGTCGCGATAAGAGAGGAGATGAAACGCGGTAAAGCAGCAGCATCAGGCCTCTAGGCTTTCATTCTGTTTCATCACACAACCATCGCTTGACTGTCTGATTTTTGTGTTATGGTTATTTTTTATTTTAAAGAAATTAATACTTTTATTTAGCAAGGTTGCATTAAATTGATCAATCTATTGATCATCTATTTTAATAGAGGAGGATGTTTTGTTTTCCTTTTTTTCAGATAATTTACTTTAATGTTTCATATTTAATTTGCATCAAATTGTAGGGTGAGGTTTAGATATCATATCCTGCCTTTGACCCTTTCCTGCCCCCATTTGGGAGTCATTGTGGTGTTGAGATCTGCTTTATATTATTATATATTTATATGAGAAGCATATGAGCCTAATCATCCATGACAGACTGAAAGCTGATAGAAAGGATCTAGAAACGCAGCTTTATCTCATCTAATGGTGCATTATTCACTCTTGAACTGATGTTCACAGTCTCGCCAAAACACACACAGTATTAGATTTAACATCCTCAATTCACAACATCATCACAGTCGGCTTTTAACAAAGTAATTCACCCAAAAATGGAAATGCAGTCACCCTTACTATATCACTGCGACCCCTCCAAACTTTCTCTTGGTGCACGAGTCATATGGACTGAGTGTGTGTTGATCATTTGCTGTGTGTGTGTGTGTGTGTGTGTTGATCATTTGCTGTGTGTGTGCGCGCGCGCATGACTGATGTCACACTCTGTCAGTCTGTGTCAGCAGTCAGGTGCTAAACTGGGAAATGTGTGAGGTGAGTGCCGTGTCCCTGTCCCTCTCTGACGTCTCTCTCAGTCTCTGAGTTGGAGGTAATGGATTTGATGTCGTGTTTATAGTCTCCGGTTCTTCTATCACTGCCAGGGAAGCATTTGTATAGCATTATAGCTCAGATGTTTAGTTCAGTGGTTCTCACTTTGGTTTGTTTTTACATTGATCATTAAGTGGTGACCCAACACAGTACTAAAATTATTTATCATATTCAAGTAAATTGAAATTCTGATAACATATTTCGATAACATTAATTTTTTTACATTACTTTTAGTGTTACTTGCTTTTTTAGTTATACATTGTCTTTATAATTTGAGTGTATTTTATATTATTATATTTTATTTTATTTTCGGTACAGTTATAGTCTCCAATATATTGGACATCCCATGCAATTTTGTTAACATGACTTTCAGTGTTACTTCACTTTTTTCATATCTCAACAACATGGAATGACAATGAGTAGTTTTAGTTACTCACTTTTTTAGTTATATAACATTGTCTTTATTATTTCAGCGTACTATATTTAAATTTTCATGCATCCTGTCCCAAGTATTTTTTTTATTTTTAATTAAATTAAATTAAATTATTTTATTTTTTCTCATGCATCACATCCCATGCAAAAAAATTTTTCTAACATGACCTCAAGTGTTACTCACTTTTTTTTATTTTACATTCTTCATAATTTATTTGAATAATCTTCATATTTTAATTTATTTTCGTCTTATGCATCTCATCCCATCCATCACTTCTTATGTTTTTTTTTTTTAACAGCGTTACTCACTTTTTTGTTTTACATTCTTTGTAATTTGTGTATTTTATTATTCATTTTTATTTTATTTTATTTTCTGTACAAATATGGTCTCCAGTATACTGGACATCCCAAATTATTATACACATTAAGACAAAAATTGTCTTTTAAAAAGGTTTCTCTCCCAGTCTCCTCTTTGGTTTTTGTTTGATTTATAAACGTCTTTTGAATTTTTATGGTTTCATGCTCTAAGCCATGAATACTTTGCACAAAACGCATTGTGGTCGACACAAACCATGTTTATTGCAAGTGAACCTGTATTTAATGTAATTTAGGTATTTTCTTTTACCTTGCATAGTTTTGTTCGTGGTTTTTAGCTTCTACCATATGCGACAGGCAAAATACTACTACATTACTATTTTCAATGCAAAGGAGACATATTCAATCACAGTATGAGTATTTAAACGCATAAAGAAGTGATGTGTGCACACCTCTTACATTGCAAAGCAGAATTAGTCACGTTGATGAGCTGTTAACTCATCTTAACAGTAACCAGGGAGATCAGAAATAATGAGGTTCTGGTGTTGGCATTTGAGAACAGTGAAAATGAGGGACTATTAGCGACTCATGATTTTGGAAACGCCTGCTTAGCAAGAGTAGGCGCATGTTTCCCGCACTCGGATTTCAACCAAATGGAGCATCAATAATGCCCAAACAAATGGGGTGGTGGATGTTTTGGCAGCTACTGTTTGTTTCATTCGTTGTTTTTTCTTCCTCAGATTCTGGCTGGCGAGGTGATGGTGTTTTTCATGAGGTCGGAGGGCATGCAGGAGAAGACCATAGTCACAGCCGACTGCTGTTACTTCAACCCTCTGCTGAGACGCATCATACGCTTCCTAGGTACATCAGCATTCACTGAAGATGATGATATGAGTAATGTCATAAGGAACTAAAAATGAACCTTTTAGGAAGAGAACTATAGGCTCTAAAGCTCAAATACTACAATTTCAAAGAAATTGTTTTTTTTTATGTTCCTGATTATATTTCAAATGCATCAAAAGCATAAAGCCCAAAGTATGCTTTGCTGTTGTATGTGTACCGTAGCGTTGAACACGTAGCCTTTCAAAGTATACTCCATTTGATAGCGTGTGTGAACACAGGCGGTCGACCCGCGTGCTCTAGAAAGGTTCATCTTAGTCCAGTGTCTGTGCTATTTTTCTCCAGAAGTTATGATCAATAAAAAAAAAAAAAGACTTTGAACTCTTTTAATCTAAAGTTGCGACTCACTCATAACCCCCACATGTGCGACGGTGCGCGTACTATTCTGGTGATGAAATTTGTGTCATATGCACTGTACACGGACCCTTGCGCACATGTAAACTTGAAGTATACTTTGGCCTTAAAAGCCATTTTAATCCCACAAACTGTGATATTAAATTCATAATATACAGTTTGTGGATTTTTTTTTTTTTACATTAGGAATTTAGGTTAAAATATAGGGGAACGTAAGTGGATTTTCACACACACACACACACACACACACATATATATATATATATATATATATATATATTTATTTATTTATTTGTATCTTTAATATTTATTTTAATTGTGTATTTTTTAATATTTAAATTTGTACATTTTTGCAGTTTACTTAAATAGTCCTGCACTGTGACAAATGAAATGTAAAATTACAAATATGTCAGCTTGTTTCTCAGTTAATACTAGCTCATAAGAATTGAATGTATAATAAATGGACACTTATTTAAAAAATAATCTTTATAATAATTTCAGATAAAGTATAGCATGTGTGACATGGTTAGACAATGCTGCATATTTGACTTTTATGTCAATAGCCAAACACAATATTTTATGACCAATAGTCAATATTATGGACAATTATTTATTCTATTCTATTCTATTTTATGACCAATGTGAATATTAAGGCCAGTGTTATACAGTTGTTTTTATTGTATTGTATTTTATTTCATGACCAGTAGCGAATATGACCAATATTATAAAGTTATTTTATTTTATGACCAATAATGAATATAATGGCCAGTATTATAAAGTTGTATTTTATTTAATTTTTTATGACCAATAATGAATATGGTAGCCAATATTGTAAATATAATTTATTTTATTTTATTTTCAATATAGATAAGGTCTCCAATCTATCAGCAGCCCCAATTTTTACACGTTTTACATTCGTTCTTTGGTGTCTGTGCTGTCACTCAGGTGTCTATACCTTCGGCGTGTTCACAACCACCATCTTTGCCAGTGCCGGACAGGTAGTAACAGGAAACCAGACGCCTCACTTCCTATCAGCGTGCAGACCAAACTACACAGCACTGGGCTGCCATTCCAACCTACAGTACATCACCGAGCGCAAAGCCTGCACAGGAAACCCCCTCATAGTAGCATCTGCACGGAAATCCTTTCCCTCCAAAGATGCGGCCCTTAGTGTTTTTTCTGCAGTCTATACAGTAGTGAGTATAAAGAACCTACAGGTATTTTAATGATGTGACTGAACCTCAAATTACGCACTTGTGGACATACTAACAGATAAACAAAAGAGTGCAGGTATACATCTCTGGAGTTGTGAGCAATCTCACAAACTCCAGGACACAAAAAGTGATTGTTAGCTAGTGATTGTGATCAAAAACGGCTGATTGTGCTAAAACTGGAACTTAATGCTTATATTCTTAAATAATAGTATTCTACCTTGCAATTATATCGTTTTTTTTTTTAAAGTCAACAGGCAACCTGCAAACTTCGAGAAAGAGCACTTCACACTACTATGAATTTCAGTGTTTTTCCAGTGTTTTTCAGTGGTTTTTTTTAGTACTTGTCTAACTGGTGCACTGGTATGGCCAGGTCACCAGTAAAAATAGTAAAACTGGTTCAGCATGTTTTTTCTGGTGATTCTGGATGAACAAGAACGCCTTGGTGGCTAAAGGCTAATTCACAACACACCAACAGACGCAGACCAACGAGTACAGTACGTCACTTCTCAGACGGTCCAAGACTGACAAACGCTGACACAACATGTTCAAGCACCAACCAATGACAACAGACACTGACAGGCATAACACACTGATCAGACAAAACCTGACGAGCGTGTCTGTTGCCATTTGTCGGCGTCTGTTGGTGCAGTGTGAATTGGCCTTAAGATTGTCAAACAGGTGCCTTTTCTATTTTAAATTGTTAAAGACCATTTCTAGCATTTCAAACCACAGTTATGAGCAAGGTTATATGTGTACT